GGTTCCTGATGATGACAGATCTCCTGGAAGGTGACCTCAGAAGAAAGGGAGGCGCCCAGTTAGCAGAGCTGGGATGTGAGCTCCTAGGCTAATCAGGTGGGGGTCCACAGGGTTCCCCATCCAAGATTCAGTCAGTTAAGTAGAGTTGGGATCAGGGCTAGCTAGGCAGGTGGGCTACCCAGTGCTTTCAGCTGTGCATTACGAAGTGCCACAGAGATCAGGAGGCAAATGAATGAAGATTTGCTATTATTTTGAAGGACATTAGACCATATGCATGCCCATAAGAAATGTACTAGGATCACAAACGTCCCATCTCAGCCCAGCAGCAGTAATCTCTGAAAAGAAGCCCCATGCTGGCACAGTTCACAGTGGAGATGTGTGCTCAGATGAACACAAATGACAAGTCCCATTGTGCTCCTTCTCCCTGGAGAGAGATTGAATGAGAACACCTGATGTGAGAAAGAGTGAGAAGATCCTGGCTGTCAGGGCAGACGTTCTGCATGTGGCAGGTCCCCCTCTGCCTGGCTGAGGCTTCAGAACCGAGCAGAGATACGATGGCCTTGCAATTGGGCTGCTTGAAAGGCAGCAAAGGAAGAATAGCAAATTAGTTATTCTAAAATCAAGAAGCTCAAGCATATAAAGGGAGTGCTGTCCCAAGCCAGCATTACTCTTGGAATAACAAATGGAAATGTGATTCCAGAAAGTCCTTCTCCCAAAGCAATCCTCTTTTTCATAGTCAATCAGGCCCAAATGGATTAAAGTAGCCCACACACTGAAGAATTTAAAAGGGTCAGAGAGCCCTCCTATCTTTGGAGCCTCTATCAAGGAATTGTCAGTCAGCTTTACAGAACATTCTTTGGGGCCAAATCTTAAACTTGTGGCTGAAGGAATGCCATATGTTTACTATATTCCATTTCCTGTTCTTCCTTTCTGGATGGGGTTAGGTAATTTGCTCAAGCCAATGAAACAAGAAAGAAAGTGATTATGTCACTTCCAAGATGAAGCCATGAAAAAGTGCCTGTAAGTTTACCCCTTTTGTCTTTGCATTTTCAGTTAATGGCTGTGGGTGCCGCATGTGAGATATCAGTGTCGTTAGATCAAAGCAGCCCGAATCACTGAATCCCTGCACTTCTGGACTGTTTGCTACTGCAGGCAGCATAAGCCCACTCTATTGTATTGCTCCAGAGATCCGGCGGGCTTATCTTTGTAGCCCCAGGAATGTCCTGATGCTGAGACCACTGATGGGAGGGTAGGTTCCTGGGCAGGGAAGTCCATGTACAGCAGGAGGGATGTTAGTGGTGGCAATCCCAAGATATACACCCACAAGAAGAAAGCTGACTGAAGCCCTGGTCAGAATGAGGGAGATTGTATTGGTTAAATTCAAAAAAGAGACCCTGGGAGAAGGAGTGAAGATGTGGTGGCCTCCAGAGCTGACGTCCTAGGATGCAGTACAAACTGTTCTCAGGATTAAACTGTTCAGGACTCAGTTTACAAATGGGTAATATAAACCTCAGTACCCATCCAGCAGAAAATATACTTGAAAAGTGTGCTCTAAATTCCATCAGTGAGAGTCTTGTTGTTTGAACCATGAGATAATTAGAGCAAGTACACAGGCATATGTCCAACACAGGAGGGAAGGGCAGATGTCTAATGTTTACCGACATAGAAAATCATAGCTAACATCATGCCCGTCCAAACACTTTATCAGGTGTTTTGGAAAATTGAGCACTGTTAGGAAAGAGAAGAGAAGTCTTTGAGAAGAGAAGAGCAGGAGAGCGTACACATTCTGGTTCCAGAGCCAGAGTTTCTGGCTCAAATCCAGGCTCTGCTGCTTTCTATTAGGAAATCTTGCAAGGTAATTATTTGACTTATTTCTGCTCCAATTTCCTCTTCTGTCCAATGGAGATGACAGTAGTTCCTTTTCATGAGATCAGTACAAGAATTACATTGCATTGAAGAAAGGTGCTTAACAGTGTCTGATACATGAGTCCTAAATAAATGTTAGATGTCATTATGTAAGCAGAATCCTTGAGTTTATGCTAATGAGGTGACTCTTGGAGGGCCTCTGGATAGCTTCAGCACAGGAGCTGGTCCCCAGAGGAACCACCCATGTGATCTGAGGGTTGGAATTCTCAGACCCACCTCCTGACCTCGGGAGGAGCTGGAGATTGAGCTCAATCCCCAATGGCCAATGACCTAATCAATTGTGCCAAGGTAATGAAACCTCTATAAAAACCCCTAAACAACAGGGCTTGAGAAATATTCTGGTTGATGAACCCATCAACGTGGTGAGAAGGTGGCACTCCCAAAGAGTATGGATAGGAGAGCCAATGCACACACACCCATACCTTGCTTGCCCTATGCACGTCTCCCATTTGACTCTTCTGAGTTGCACCTTTTTTGATAACCTGGTAAACATATTTAAAGTGTTTTCTTGAGTTCTGTGAGTTGTTCTAGTGAATTATCAAACAGGAGTAAGGAGGGTGGTGGGAACTCCCAAATTTGTAGTCAGCTGGGCACAAGTGTGGGCCACTAGAGCACCTCATTTGTGGCTGGCATCTAAAGTGGGGGCAGTCTTGTGGGATGAGCCCTTAAACCATGGTGTCTTTGCTAACTCTGAGGGTTAGTGTCAGAATTGAGTTGAATTATTGGATGCCCAGTTGGTCTCAGAGAATCAGAGACATGTCTTGTTGCCTCTGGAAAACTCCATTATACATACATGAAAGAATGAGAGTGAAAACAGCAAATAAGATCTCACCATTATTGCAAAAATTATTTTGACTTTGCAGACACCCTGGAAGCGTCTCAGGGATCCCAGGAGTCCCTAGCCCCTACTTGAAGACTTCTGCTTTAGAGGATGTTTTTCTGTGATTGGGCTGTTCTGAAACTATGTATTCCTTGGACCTGAATACCTCATGCAAATCTCAAAGGTCTAACCAAGGAAAGGTTAGAAACAACTTCTTCATGATTAAGAGCATATCTAGATTTAAGATCAAGACTCCAAGAAATTTGTAGTTTGTAGAATAATTATGGATTAGGATAGAACAGAATAGATTCAGGTTTCTTTGCTGAACCTCCATGTTTGTGAGCTGGGGAAGCAGCCATGGCTTAAGGAAACTGAAAACTACCGGGTCTGCCACTTCACAGCTGCACAAACTTGGGGGAAGTCATTACATCTTTTTGAGATTTCCTCATTTGCAAAATGGAGACCATACCTGAGCACTTCACAGTTAAGACCTTATTCAATTTATACATACACTTTATACATGCAAACATGCAAAATCCAGCAGACATTGTTACCCTTTGTTACAGAGAAATCACATGCTCAACAAAGTGCCCAGCGGACACAAAGTGACACAGTCCTATTTTGAACCCAGGTTTGTTTGACCTCAAAGCCCATGCTTTTCCAAATCCTACTGGCTCAGTGAGAAGGCATCCAGTGTCAGCAGGGAGCAGAGAGCAGTGGGGGATGGTACTTGTTCTGTAAATTTATCCAAATTCCAGGGCATGTGGCAGTTATGCCAGGAGTGTGTGAACAGTAGTACATAATAGGGTGGGACCACAGCTCATTCTCAGAGGGCTGGAGTGAGGGTAACTGCTCCCAGAGGACCTGGGCCTTGTATGCAAATACTGCTACCCCCACCCTGCACCAGTCAAGCAAGGGATGGAAGGAGGCTTTTTCTTCTCCTTTCTTCTAGACGCTGATGCCTGGCATAACTGGCTGTGAAGCAGTTTTCTCTCTCACGACTTAGGAGAATGGCATCACATGGTTAGCATGCTAGACTGTTCAGAGCTATTTTGAAGCAGCAGGTGACCCAGAAAATTTCTTCCCTAAGAAAAAACAGTAACATACTATCCCTGATTAATGATGACATCCTGTCTCTATGCACCGTTAAGAATTTCAGAAATATTATGGGAAACAAGAAAGGGGTTTTTCATACAGCTGGCAACTTACCAAATAAATACATATATTATATCTGATTTTTTAATGAGGATTTAAAATGTTTCTCATACTGCTGCCAGAGGATGTTCCTAAATCACCGACAGATTGTTTCCACTCTCTTATGCAAAAAATCTAGATGGACTTCCAGTTCAAGACCGTGCCTGGCTCACAGCCCTCAATGCAACCTGTCTTATTTTCTCACTTAAAAATATGGTAAATAATGAAACCTCCCTTTAGTATTGAAAACCAGCACTGACAGACAATCTAATGTCAGAACCAAGGAGACCTGTATGCTACTTACAAGGCAGGTTGAGTTGCCCTGAGAAATCCTCAAAGGTTTAGGTAGAAAAAAATTATTTACTTACAAAACCCACAGTGCCTTTAGATTTCTTGACAAGACCAAACATCAGAACATCTGTGAAAAAACATCTGTAGTCTTAAGGGGATGATGGTTTGTGGCCCAGGTATTTGATAGGCTGCCAAATTGCCTTTTGTAACTTTGTGAAATGACCTATGCAGATATGCAGTGGTTTACAAACTGTGGCATTAATACTGAAGGTTGAAAAATAAAGGTGCCCCACAACCAACAGAGTTGGAGCAGAATTAGAGGTCTAAGATTGAAGATGTCATCATATGGAAGCCCTGAAATTATTAATATAGAGAGGCATAAATAATTGGTACATGAGGCGTAAATAATTGGTACATGTGGTGGTAAATTGAAAAAATATATATAAGATACTCTATGAGAAAATAAATACATATATATGTATATATCCTTAATTCATAAATTCTATTAGTAAAAAATTTCCCAAGGAATTATTTAAAATGCGTGTAATGCTTTCTAAACAAGGATATAATTTACGATGTTAGTTATACAATGAAAAAAAATCAGAATAAGAATAAAACAGTGGTGACATTGGTTATGTAAACAATAATTTATACCTATAATGAAATGCAATAGAACAGTGAGATAAAATCCGTTTATAGGGTAATAAGCTGTGGTGTGTTATGTAAAAAAAAAAACAAATTAAAACTCAATGTTAACAGTTTAATTCTCCTTTGGAAAAAAAATATGCATGTAAATAGAAAATAAGGCCTAGAAATCTCTGCAGTTACATTTGCTATATCTGGATGGAAAGATTTCTCATGCTTGTTATTTTATGCTTTCTTTTGGTTTGTTTTTGCCTCATCGGGATTTTCAAATTTTTCTGAAAGTTACATGTAAGAGATTTAAACCAAGCTGTGACATAGATTTCCACAGGTAGAGGCAGGATTGCAGGGTCAGAATGAGAGACATGGGAATTAAGGCAAATCAGGTGACAGACATGACAGCCCAAGGCTGGACAGAGGGAACAGGAAGGGAGGGAAATGAGCAGACGTGAATGGATCCGTAGACAAGGAAGTGATGAGTCTGGAGACTGGTCAGATAGGTATGTGAGTGAAGCTGCAGATAATCACAGTGCAGGAAGAAAGCACATCTTCTCTGAGTTCTAAGAGACAAAAGGATGGACCAGGTGGAGAGGAGGGGAAGGCCATTTGAGCCAGAAGAGCATTGTTTGACCTGTCTCACAGTGGCCTTTCCCAGCAGAATTGCAAACCCACTCACCAAATCTGAATTAACATTTTCAAACAGAGAAAGCACATCCATTCCCTCTGGAACCTCTGATCACGTTAAGGGAGAGTGCATCCAGCCATCCCGGATTCTGCCCCAGACAGTGCCATCCACGGCTGCTTTGCAGAAAGGGGTTCTTCTCAGGTGAGCGCCTCATTTACTCCTGAATGGAGAGCTCCTGGGAATCCTGCATCAGCCAAGCACAGCACGGTTTCTAGGAAATAGTAACATATTTGACCCCAGTGACTTACAATAGCAGAGTGATGTCCCATTGCCTAGTAATAATCACTGTGACCTTCACTGGGACTGAAATGTCCTTCCCCCAAGGACCTGCTCATAAATACCACCTAGCAGATGGGAGCTCCCGTCAGAACAAGAAGATTCATCGTGCTGACACGTTCTCCCTGAGGACTCCAAAGGCCTGAGGGTCTGAACAAAGCATCCTTTATATTCAGGACAAAAGGGGCACAAATTTCTAAATGGCACAAAACAAAATGTCTGCAATTATCTATCTTCAGCAGACATTTGAAGTAGGAATAGGTCATTGGAATTGCCATTTCAAATCTTCATTGAAATTCTTTACCAAGAGACTTCTTTTTCACTTGATCTATTCAGCATTTCTTACCACTTACAGTTTATAACAATAATAATGATAATCATAATAAAATGAACTTCTGCTCAAAGTTTGCTGGATGTTATTATGAATGTATCTCACTTTATCTTTACAACAATCACATGAGGAAGGTAACCCAATTTCTACAGATGTGAGAGAGAAAACATAATCATTTGGTTGAAACAAAACCCATACAACTCCCACACTGAGGAATTAAGCTTTTATTTTAAAGAACATGCTGTTATCAAGAAAGACCCATTATACTTTCACTTTGATCTTTGCCCTCAAAGTTACCCAAACTTGAATTACTAACTGGTTTCTCCAAAAGTGTAATTAACGTTGATTTTCTTTCCATCACCTCTTATAACTAGATCTGGAAAAATTGTATAGATATCTGGCCAAAGGAAAGCCTCTGAGCAGTAGAGCCACAGTGCTATACAACAACAGATCTGAGAACTCTGGAGAAAGGGAACATATTATATAAGGTTTTCCCTAAAAACTGGCAGCCTTTGTTCATAGTTGGATATAAACTCATTCAAGTCTACCCACACAGCTCCACTTCCTGACATCTGTTCTCTCCTCCCAGGATCTGGAAGGTTTCTTTCTTCTGATCAAGTGTAAAACGGGGATAAAGATGTGTTCAGAAAAAGGAGAGAATGCAGACAGCCTGATTCAGTAGGTCTGGTGTGGGACCCAGGAAGCTGAATTTTTTGAGTCACCCCCTCAAAATTAGCCCTACTCAGGGGACAGTTTTGCAACAATGTTTTGAAAATCTCCAGAGCTGGGTATTTGGTGGTGGTATACAAATACTGGTGAGGAGTATAGAGTCATAGGGTTTGGGCTTAAATCCCAGCTTTATGCCTCACCAATTGGGTAAACACGGCAAGTCAATTAACTATCTAAGTCTCAATTTTCCAGTTTTTATTAAATAGGGATGATAATAGATGAACATTGATGATATAATGTATATATGCAAAATGTTGAGCACACTGGATTACAGTAGGTAATGAATAAATGGGAGTGATTATTATATTACATAATATGAAAAAGCACAGAAAAGACAGTACTATAGTATGCAGTGATACCTTATTTTACTGGACAGTAATAAATGAGCAAAAATCCCCAAATGTCTGTTGTCTGTGGGATGGTAATACACAACAAGGATTACCAAGCTGCCCAAATAAGGACCCATTTAAATTTCACTTTAAAAAGGAACAGAAAAGGGAGCAGACCTCTGAAACTCTTCTCAGCATGTTTTCATGTGACTGCAGATGCAATTTTCATAACCATTCTTGAAATTACACATATTCCAAAAAAGAGAAAATATGATAAGACATAAAATTCAGTAATCAAGACACTAAAGCCAAAAAAGGACATCACAATACATGACATTGTAACACTTTTGGAGAATTTACTATGTCCCATTAACTGCTACAAATCTTCTCCTGGGATTAGTTCATTCCATGCTGATAGCCACCTGAGGGGAGTGTTTGGCTTTATCTCCATCTGTGATTGAGGGTACTGAGGATGGAAAGATTAAGTAATTTAGCCAGGCTGCACACCTCATAGACAGTAGAACGGGTTTACACCCAGGTTAACAGATCCCAGAGCCTGTGCTCATTATCAGAACCCTCAGCCCAGGTGCTGTAGTAGCCCAGTGGGGGTGGAATAAGAACAGCCGAAGTCTGTAGCACTTGAAAACACCAAATTCTGATTATGATGTGAAGCAACAGGAACTCTCATCTATTTCTGGGAATGCAAAATGGTATAGCCACTTTTGAAGATAATTCAGCAGTTTCTTATAAAATTAATCATACTCTTTCCACACAATCCAGCAATCTCATTCCTTCGTATTTACCCAAAGGAACTGAAAACTTAGGTCTACCCAAAAACCTGCACATGGATTTTTATAACAGCTGTATTCATATTACCAGATCTTGGAAGCACCAAGATCTCCTTAAGCAGGTGAACGGGTAAATGACTGTGGCACATCGGTACGATGGGATTTTACTCAGTGCTAAAAGGAAACAAGTTATCAAGCCATGAAAAAACATAGAGGAAAATTAAGTATTACTCAATGAAAGAAATCAATCTGAAAAGGCTACATACTGTATAATTCCAACTATATGACATTCTGAAAAGATATTCTAAAAGTATTCTATAATTCTGTAAAATTAAATTGGAAATAGTAAAAAGGTCAGTGGCTTCCAGGAGTTTGAGGATGTGGGAAGGGGCGAATAGACAGAGTACAGGGGATTTTCAGAGCAGAGAAACTATTCTGTAAGATACTACAATGGTAGACACATGTCATTATGTATAGTGGTCAAAACCCATGGAATATACAACATCAAGAGTGAACCCTAATATAAACTGTAGACTTTAGGTGATAATGATATGTCAGTACAGCTTTATCAGTTATAGCAAATGTCCTACTCTGGTGCAGGACAGTCGGGGAAGCTGTACATGTGTTGGGGCAGCTGATTTGTGGGAACTCTACATTTCTTCCAATTTAGCTGTGAGCCAGCTCCAAAGAAGTTAAATCTGTTTTTTTAAAAAAGGAAATTGATGCTCTTCTTCAAACACATGTGTACCTTTTATAATTCACTTACAAGGGGCAAGAATCGTGTTTACCTTGTTTACTTTTCTTAAAATTACTTTGAAATAATAATAAATCCAAAGAAAGTTATAAAAACAGTAGAGAGAGGTCTCTGTACCTTTCGTCTAATTCTCCCATCGGCTTTTACATAGCTCATACATTATATCAAAATCAAGATATATCTTATTCAAGTGCTAAGACAATAGTACGATTAAGTGACTCAGTGAATGAACAAGTAAGTAAGCGGCTGACTGGATGACTGAATGTATGACAGAAATAAATAATACATAGTTCTTATTTGAGTATAGCCTCAGTCAACTTCACAAATCATTTTCATTTTTATAAAGTCTTGATCTAAGAGTTATTCACAAATACACGGATTGGGAGCATCCCATCACATTGCTGAAGAGCCCTACCTGCTGTTTCAAGCTAGCTAATCAAGCCTACATGAGTTTAATTGTCCTGCCAAAAAAAATATAATTGAAATAATACAAAATAGGGGGAAAATATATATATACACACATACACATACATACATACATACATACATACATACATACATACATACATACATATATTCCTAATGACAAAGAGAGTGCTTGCTATCCATCTCCAAAAACAAAGAGCCACTGAGGCTTTCTTAGCACATTCAGAATGGGTGAGATGGGAAGCCAGCATGTGAGAAAAAAACCAAAAAACCTTCTTTTGTAGTTAAGTGGACAGGATACCCAATAAGACACCATTCTCAATCCCAGAACTCAGACAATCAAGACATCCTGGGTACCAGTTATGGAAGAAATGCACCAGACCCAGTCACAGGAATTTGGCATCACATCCTCATGTCCTCCCAATCTATACTGGGTGAAGGAGCATGCTGGAGGGGGGCCAGACTGGGTTGGGGGTGTGGGAGTGGGGTGCATACTGGCAGAGAGGGCTGGTGGTGCTAAGTAGAGAGCCCAACAGAGAGATGCGGCAGTGCCTCAGCCTTTGAGGAAGTTCAGAAGCTCTAGGTGGAACTAGTGCTCTTGGTTCAGTCTCTCAAAATAACTGGACTTTGATGGAGCCAAATGGACCTGAAGAAAATCCTCCTTCAACTCTTATCTGCTCTCCTAAGGTTTTTCAAGAACCATCCAAGTATTGAATAAGAGTGACATCATCTCCAAAAAAACAAACTCAGCCCCAAGCCTGGTGTTATGAAAGACCCTCAGGAAAAACCCTTCTGAGAGCTGTAGACCCTGACAACTACTGCACGAGCTCAGGTCTCCCAGGGAGCACATAGGTCTGAAGACTGTGATGGCCACGGTCTCAGTGGGCCTTTTCTCAGAGAAGCTTCAATAGGAACAGAGAACACAAAATGCCTGTGAATTTCTCAGTTCAGTCCCTCTTTGTTTAGGTAGCATTTCTGCTTGCTTTTCCTATTTCTATTAAAGAGAAGAGAGAAACTTACGCCTCTGCCTCCCAAGAGAAAAATGAAAGCTAGATTCGATTTCATTTTGTGCCCAGTTTCTGACTTAAGGAAACTGATCACCCTCCCACCTACTCTTTGCAAGAAGCATCACCTGTTTTCCCCCTCAGAGGTTCAGCCCTAAGTAAAACCCTTTGTGAACAACATCCTCTCCAAGGGGGCCTTGTCAGCTTCAGGATCCAGGCTCTGCATGGATCCCACCCTGCCCGAGGGCAGTGCAGGCATGTCCAGAGATCGCCTAACCTTACATTTGAGAGGGAGTAAGGGAGGACCAGCCACCTTGGCTGATTTCTATTTGTGTCTTGAAATTTCCATCTCCTTGGGAATAAAAGAATTAAAATATGTTCAGTCCCAAAGAAGAATTGTATCCCTGAAGTTTGCAAGATTTAAACATCTTGAAAAAAACGAACTAATCTCTGATAGAAATCCAATGAACACATACAAAGATTCTGTAGTTCAAAAGGAAACTCCCTAAGGAATTTAGTCAATATGATACAGTAAGAAAACAACATAATAAAAGAAGTAAAAATGAATAAAAAA